AATAACTAAAAGAAATAAATATTTAAAAAATAAAATAAAATAAAAAATAAAAAGGGCTGGGATGTAGCTCAGTGGTGAAGCACCCTTGCATTTGTTCTGCAGTTAATGATGACACCTGGGCACTAACAACCAAAAGAAAACAGCAAAGACACCTAGATGTCAGCAACAGAACAATTTAAAGGAGATGTTACTTTGCACTCCATTTTTTTTTTTTCCCCCAGTGCTAGGAATGGAAGCCAGGCCAAGTGCTCCACTGAACTACATCCCAGCCTCCTGACAACTATCTTTTGAGTGTGTGCCTGTGCAGTTTTTGTTTTGTTTTATGGAGATGATTAAGCCCAGGGGCACTTAATCACTGAGCCACATCCCCAGCCCATCTTAATATTTATTTAGAGATGAGGTCTCCCTGAATTGCTTAGGGTCTCCCTAAATTGCTCAGGCTGGCTTTGAACTCGCAATCCTCCTGCCTCTGCCTCTCAGCCACTGGGATTATAGGCGTGTGCCACCATGCCTACCTTCCTGTACAGTTTTCAGCGCACTTTCACATCCCGTTCTGAATCTATTCCTCATAACAGTTCCATCAGGTAGAGGAATCTAACCCTCACTTTACAGATGGATAAAGCAAGACATAGCGCACAGTCCTATGGTAGAATTGGGTTTTGGACCCGGAACCTCTGACTTCTTCCAACTCATTTCTTAACTACCTTGCAGAACCCCAAGCTGCCCCACAACCAAGACCCCAACCCAACAGTGTTATTAATGATGACACCTGGACACCAACAACAATTCCTTGCCTCTTCAGAACTTTTCAGAGTCTGAAATATAGCTGCAATGACCTTACTTCACTGTCCTCCCTTTAAGCAGGGAGATTGGGTGTTCTCACCTGACCCAAGAAACTGAGATACAAAGCCACACTGTAAATCAGTGACAGGGCTGGCTCAGGTCTAAAACTTACCTGCAGCACTGAGAGGTTGGTCTGTCCAGAAAGGCTCAGCTTCTCCTGCTCTGAGGGGTAGGCGTTGTAGCGGTGCAAATACAGCCAGTCCCGGAGGATCTTCACGGACTCCTTGGGTAGGTTCCCCCTGCGCTTCCTCTTGCCCGCCAGGGAGAGGAGGCCTTCATCTTCACCCAGATCACTGTCCGACATGGTGCCTAGGAGCTAGGCTGGATCTTAGGTGAGCCTGGGACAAGTGGCATAGGGGACATCATTACTGTGCACTTACTGCCACTTACCCTGTTTCCTAGTTTGCTCACTACTACTACAGCCTGAGATTCCAGAAACTGAGGAGTCTCCAAAGTCTTTGGCTATACCCTAGCTGAAGAAACTAGAAGGATGAGTGCAAAATGCCACCGTTTCGTGGAGCCAGATAGGTGACTACTAAATGAGCGGCATCTGGGCATGGTGGTGCACACCTGTAATCCCAACTACTCAGGAAGCTGAGGCGGAAGGAGTGCAAGTTTCAGGCCAGCCTGGGCAACTTGGTAAGAACCTATCTCAAAATTAAAAATAAAAAGGGCTGGAGATGAGGCTCAGAGGTTAAACCCCTCTGGGTTCATCCCTGGTATCAAATAATCTAAAATGAATGGCAACTCAAGTAGGAAGACTATAAATCATTACGACTATGATTGAAATCTACTGTACCCAGCATTTTATTTTACTTCATTTAATTCTCACAAACCCCTCTGAGGGAGAAACTATTCATATTGTTTTATAGATGAGGAAACAAAGAAAATAATAAGAATGCAACCCGGGTCCACACAAAACCTCATACACAAATGTTCACAGCAACCTTATTCACAGTAGCCAAAAGGTGGAAACAACCAAGTGGCTATCAACAGATGAATGATTTGTGATTTACTTATACAATGAATATTATCTGTCCAAAAAAAGAAGTTCTCATATTTTCTATAACATGGACGGACCTTGAAAACATGCTAAGTAAACCCTCAAAGAGGCTAGCCACACAAGACCACATATGGTATGTTTCCATTTACAATGGAATGTCCAGGATAGGAGGCTCTATAGTGACAGAAGGGAGATTGGGCAGTTAGGGCTGGGGAGGATAAAAGAGTGATAGCTACAGGGAATGGAGTTTCTTTCTGAGAGGATAAAAATATCCTAAAATTGACTGGTAGTGATTGCTGCACATGGTTGTAAAAATACTAAAAACCACTGATTTATATACTTTAAATTAGTGAATTGTGTAGTATGCAAGTTATATCCCAATAAAAAGTTACTTTAAAAAAATCCCATCTGCAGGAGTTATTCAAGTAGGATTTGGGCTCAGGTAACCTGCTTCTCCCATCCCTTTGTGATCTCTACATTATCTTGCCTCCCAGGTCTCCCAAGGCCAGTGAGGTGTCTGGAAACTATAATCACATGGTCCTGCAACAAACCATGTAATATTTATTAAGCATCTACTGTGTACCGTGCCAAGAGTAGTGAATTATCCCTACTGGTTGTTTCTTAGATACTCTCCTTGTTTAGGCCTCAGCCTGGTCCCAGGCAAGGCTCTATCTGGTCCCTGCCCTACCCCCATTTGGCTGTGTGACCCTGGGTAAGTATCCTTTCCTCTCCTGGCTTGAAGTCCCCCCTCCTTCACCTGTCAAACAGAGGAAGGTTTTTTTTTTTCCCTAGATAACCCAATTCAGCTGCTCATTCCCCCCCCCCCCCAAAGTTCTTGTTCACACAAGCAAAAGAAATTTACATTTTAAAAGCAAAAGTTCTAGGCCAAGCCTGATGCCAGAATCTCAAGGCTCCTCCCTTCTCAGCCTTTTAACAGCTCCCCAGCAGCCTGGGCCAACAGACTCTGGCATCTCCCAGGTTTTGTTTCCTCGACTTGGGTCTGAGCCCAGATCTCTGGGCCAGTGAGGCCAGGCTTTCGAGGGAAGGGTCTACCCTCAGCCAGGCCACCTGGAGGTGAGACAGGCACTGCTTAGACGTGCCACTCCTCAGAAAGCACCACTGCTGTCTGCTTTCTGAGGTCAGACATTTCTAGCTGCCAGGGCAGCTGGGATCTGGGCTCAGGGATGCAGCCCTGGCAAGCAGTGAGAAGTTTACTCAAGGTTATCTGTACAAATTCCACCCTGGCTGCCAGCCAGAACCCAATCTGCAGGGTTCCAGAGGTAGGCCCCGGGGATGACCCCTTAGTCTGCACAAACCTTTCCATTTCGGTGTTCTGCTTCCCAGGCCGGCCTACAGTCCTGCAGGTTTCCCACATACTTTATTTCAGTTACACATCTTGCCCACCCCACAGGCAACTCCGATAGCGATCAGGTAACTGGCACAGCCCACTGCTGAACTCCTACAAGCCCCATGATTTTCAGACACACATTGCACGCACACAGCTTACAAACCCCAAGCCTAGCACCAAAGACTGTGACCCACTCAACTAGCCCAACTCCTGCATCCGCCCACCCACGAACTCCAACCGACCCGCCCACCCACGATGTCCCAAAGGGGAAAAGCTCTGGTCGTCATCACATCAGCGGTCAGCTCAGAGCCCCTCCGACACAACACCCAGTGCACCCTCCTACATGCTCCCACGACGCCACCTGCAGCCACTCCCGCAGGAACTTTCTGACAACTCCCCCAGCTCGGCCGACACTCCCCCGGGTCGCGCACCGGGGCTCACATTCCCAGCAGTTCACACAAAGCGCGAAACCTCCCCCGCGGCCCAGACAGAGCAGAGCACATGGCTCCCGGGGCGGCTAGGAGTCGGCCGGCGCTCCGGGCGCCCGCACCCCCGGCCCCCCACCCCAGGTCAAAATGCGCGCAACAGCTCCTTCGTGGGCCTGCAAACCCGGAGGGGCTAGGGCTCTGGGGAAAAAGTAAACTCACGTGTCTGAACAGGGGCAGGAAAAGTTTGGTTCCCACCCCCTTCCCGGGCTGCTCGGAGCTGGCTGCCTCTTCGGGGCGCGGGGCCGGCGGAGCGTGCGCGCTCGGCTTTGTGCTCCGAACTCGGCCCGGAGGGGGAGGGGAGAGGAGGGGGCTGGGCTCCCACCTCCGCACCGCCCCCCCAGTCCTGCGCCCAGACTCCATGTTGTTCGCCCCCAGCCCCAGGGACCGCGCGCCTCCGCGGCGTGAGGCTCGGCTCCCCGTCGCCTGCTCAAGGTCCCAGCGCACAAACTTTCTCCCGGTCGCCGGCCCCACGCGCCCCGCTGCCTTGGCCCGCCCGGGAGTGACAGATGCCTCGGAGACAGACTTTCCTTTGTTCCAAAGGAAAGGGGAACTCGCGCGGGCTCCCCACCCGCCTCTCTCGGGGCCCTTCCCACTGCCCCCACCCCCAGCTGTCACCCTCAGCCGCCCCCTCCCCGGCTCGGCCGCGGGGGGGCCCTGCCGGCGGTTAGCAACGTGCACTTTTGAAACCAAACAAACCCGCCCCCCGCGCGCTCACCCCAGTCCGGGGCACTGGCGGCCCGCTCCCAGAGTGGGATCCTAGGGAGCTGGGCCCCCCAAAAGGGCCCGAGCGAACTTTCTCCCGGGGGCTGACGAGGCTCCCGCCAGCACTCCGCAGTCGGGACTCACAAACACACCCAAGCTCACACACCCACAATCGCACGCGCCAGGATGACGCCCCCTCCCCCGCCCGGCAGCGAAAAAGAAACTTTCCAAGTTGTCCGCGCGCCCCCACCCCCATCTCCGCCCCTCCTGCGTCCCGCACTGACTTTTCCCGGCGGCTTTCGGGCCCACGCGGCCTCGGGCAGGGTGCGGGGCGTCCCGGCCGGGGCGGGGGGCGCCGGGGGCGCGCGCCGCGTACCTGCCGGGCCTGACACCCGCCTGACAGCTCGCGGCTGGAAAGCACCTCGCGGCCTGACGTCAGATCCCCTCTCCTCCCCTCAGCGCGCGCCTCGCCCTCCCCCACCGCCCGGAGGCAGCAAACAAACTTTGCGCCCAGCGCGACCAACTACGCCCACCCCCCGCGGGGCGGGCCCGCAGCCCGGGGGCTCCGCCCCGCCCACCGCGCCGGAGGGGGCGGGCCCGGAGGGCACCTTCTTCCTGCGCCCACCCACCTCAGGAATGCCACATGGCCTCGGGAGGGAAGCGGTGGGACCTGGGCTCCCGCAGCCCGCTTAGGGGCAGGAAGTGGCCCGCTCCTCCTTTCGGAGAGCATTTCCGGAGCGCCTACTGTGTGCTCTTGGCCCGGGGTGGGGCCTTACAAAGGGAGAACTTTGCCAGTCCCGACGATTGCGTGTGGGCCCCGCACCAGAACTCGGGTCCGCGCCGGGATGGTTCACATTGCTTGGAGGAGAAACTGAGGCCAGTTAGTCCCAGACTTACCCCCAGTTGGTAAGGTGCCCGGCTCAAAATGCGATTCCTGTTCTGTCCTTAAGGGCCCACAGACTGGAATAAGGCTGCCCGGGAACTACCCCAAGCAGGTAACCTAGGCCTAGCATTCAAGGGCGGTCAGCCAGGCTGTGCGCGCACTTCTAGGTATCATCAGGTTGTGGGATAGGTGCTGCCTTACCTGTGAGCTGCAGAGAGGGTAAGCGTTTGCTTTTGTCACAGTTAAACAGTATCATTCAGCCAGGTGGGTCAGACAGCAAAGCCAGAGCCATCCACCGGTTGGGCTGGTCCTTGACAGGTTCTGAGGGGCCGGCTGGGAGCTTGCGGGCCTTGGCTGGTTCCTCTTTCCTCTGTGGTTACATACTGCTCCAGGAGCTTTTTCTTGACTTCCCACCATCCCGCCAGCGCTCCTGGTCTCTGAAGTGTGCACCCCACAAACCGGAAAGTATCTGCTGATCCTCGCCTAATTCGAACCAGGAAAACCCTCTTCTGGGCTACTCTTTCTTCGTCTAGGCCCAGATATGTGGGGCCCTTGAGATTAGAAATCAACTGCTTTGAAAATAGCTTTTTGTAATTTTTTTCTTTAATGCTCTCTCTTATTTATTGTTTTGTTATTGCTGAGATAGGTGCTCCCTATGTTGCACAAGCTGATCTCCAGCCCCTGGGCATAAGTGATCCTCCAGCCTCAGCCTCCCTGAGTAGCTCGGAATGCAGGCAGGCACCAGTAACTGGTATGTATGTATGTATTGGTACTGGGATTGAAATCAGGGGCGCTGTACCACTGAGCTACACCCCCAGCCAGCCCTTTTTATTTTTTGTTTCAAGACAGGTTTTTGCTAAGGCTCCTAAGTTGCTAAGGCTGGCTTCAAATTTATGATCCTCCTACTTCAGCCACCTGCACAGGGTGGGGGTAGGAATTACAGTAAAACCACAAAGTGACCAGGTCAACTCAGTTTTTTGTTTGGTTTTTGGTACCAGGGATTGAACCCAGGGGCACTTGACCACTGAGCCACATCCCCAGCCCCCTTTTATACTTTATTTAGAGACAGAGTCTCTTTTTTGTTGTTGTTTGGTACCAGGGATTGAACTCAGGGGCACTTGACTACTGAGCCTCATCCCCAGCCCTATTTTGTATTTTATTTAGAGACTTGCTAAGTTGCTAAGGGCCTTGATAAGTTGCTGAGGCTGGCTTTGAATTTGTGATCCTCCTGCCTCAGTCTCCCAAGCTACGGGATTACTGGAGTGTTCGACCATACTTGGCTTCAGTTTTTGGTCTTAATTACACTTTATCAGTGGAGAACTCTGGGAACAAAAGTTGAAAATTTTTTTTCCCCCAAATAAGTCCTAAGTCAATAGGGTCACTGATTAAATGACTCTTAAGGTTCATATGGACTCCAAAGACACCAGATTTCCTGCAAATGCATAGAACTAAGTTGGCCAGCTGCCTACTGTCCAAAATGTCAATGACGCTGCCCAGTTCTCTCCACTACACAGATGGAGAAAGTGAGGCCCAGTATGGTGGCCACACACAATTTCTAGGCCAAGTTTGATCTGCAGCCCTCTGAGAAAAAAAGGGAGGCTTGGGCAGTCTTAGGTAAGAAAGGTCAAACCAGTTGAGTCCTAACCTAGGGTTGCAGAGGATGCATGGGGCAAGGATCTTTAGGAGGTGGGGAATCTGGAGGGAAAATAAAGGTCTAACCAGGTGAGCTTCCTAAGTCTGTTGATGAAGACAGTGACTTCTCCCCACAACCTTTTTTTTTTGGTGTGTGTGTGTGTGTGGTGCTGGGGATTGACTCAGGCCTTGTGCATATAAGGCAAGCACTCTACCAACAGAGCTGTGTCCCCAGCCCTCTCTCCTACCCCTTTGCCTGCAACTGACAAAGCCAGTCTGGAGCCCCTTCCTAGACCTGGAGGGGAGGGAGGGAAGGGAAAGAGGGAGGCTGGTTGTGTATCAGGACTTCACAGAAACAAATTCCCTGTCAAAACAGTAAGTTTTTAGAAGTTGTAAGCTAATTTAGTCATTTTTTTTTTTTTCCTTTTTTGTGGTGCTGGGGATCAAACCCAGGGTCTTATGCTAGGCAGGTACTGGACCACTGAGCTACATCCCCAGCCCTGCTTTGGACATAGTTGATGAGAACTATCATGGGAAAACTTTTTCCAACTGTTAAAGTTGTTTTTGGAGACAGGTGTCCCACTAGATGGCCTAGGCTAGCCTCAAACTCCTGAGCTCAAGTGATCTGCCTCAGCATCCTGAGTGGGACAACATGTGTGTGCCACTGTGCCTGGCTCTGTCATCCCGTTTTGCCACACATTCTCTTTATTAAAAAATAAATAAAATAAAATTACTGTAGTGGGCTGGGGGTTTAGTTCAGTGGTAGAACCCTTGTTAGCATGCATGTGGTCTTAGGTTTGATCCCCAGCAATACACACATGCACACATGCGCACACACACACTACTGTGGCAAGAAACCTCTCCTCCTTTTTTCCCCACACATGAAGAAACTGTCCCTGAGAGAAGAGACTTGCCTCATGATGAGTGTAGGACCCAGTACTCCGGGAAAGATCTGGGCTGAGATAGGAGAGATGAGTGGTTTCGAAGCCCAATCTGATCTGGCTCTCCAGATCATAAGTCAGTTTCTTGCCTGAATACCAGAAAATCCCAGATCTCAGAGGCTCTTGGATGTGGGACTTTGTGTGCCAGTTTCTGGCATTGGTAGTTACACAGATGCAAATGAATGTCATATGAATTCACTTTCATTAAAAAAAAAAAAGTTAGGGACTGGGGATGTGGCTCATTGGTAGAGCACTTGCCTAGCATGTGCAGGGCCCTGGATTCAATCCCTAGCACTATAAGAACAACAAAAACACTAGCTGCTGCCCTTTTTTGGAAGTGGGAACCACCAGGGCCAGCATTCACTGAAAGCCACGTCTAGGCTTCAGCCTATAGAAGTTGGGGCTCTCTGGGGTATAAGAAATAAGAAATGCGTATAGCAAAGTCCAGTGCAAATGAGTGATTAAATAGATAGCTTGGTTGGCCGGCCAGGTGGTAGGACCTTCAAAGTGGGGGACTTGGCAGCATGAGCAGCAGGGCATCCTGGGCAAGTTCCTGGGATGGCTACTGAGGAGAGTTGGGAAGAGGCTGGAGGTGCATGGCCAGATAGGTCAGCTCTGGGTAATGAGGCTGGAACTGCTAGAGACCTCCCTGGAGACGGGGGTTTGTAGCTGTCGTGTGGATTTCCACTTATCAACATCTTTCTTCTTAAAAGTCTCCTGTTGCTGAACACAATAGTGCATGCCTAGAATCCCAGCTACTGGGGAAGCTGAGGCAGGAAGATCGTAAATTCTAGGCCAGCCTTGGCAATGAAGTGGGACCCTATCTCAAAAATAAAAGGGCTGGAGGTGTGGTGAACAGGTAGGGGAAAAAAGTCTCATCTTGTTGGTCAATCACAATTGACTGAACTTTTTCTTAGTTATTGGGCATTTACTAACTTAAATTTTTTTCTTTTGTGGTACTGGGGCTCAAACCCAGAGCCTTGCTGTTAACGACCCTTGCTAAATTGCTGAGGCTGACTTTGAATTTGCAATCCTCCTGCCTTAGCTTCCAAAGTTTCTGGGATTACAGACATGGGCCATCTTGGCATTGAAGTGGGACCATATCTCAAAATAAAATTTTGGCCATCATACCCAATTGAGGTTTAGGTGTCTTTTTTTTTTTAATATTTATTTTTTAGTTGTAGTTGGACACAATACCTTTATTTCACTTATTTATTTTTAAGTGATGCTGAGGATCAAACCCAAGGTCTTGCACTTGCAAGGCAAGTGCTCTACCGCTGAGCCACAACCCCAGACCAGTTTAGGTGTCTTTGAAAGGTTCTATGTATAGACTCGAGAGTCTGTAATTATAGGTATATGTGGATGTATTTACACACATACACATAGGTGTAGGTGTGCTTGTTTACTCACAGTGTAGGCAACATGGGGTTTATCTTTCCTTCTCCCTATTTTAACCTTTGTCAGTTTAACTCATAAGGAGTATTACTAAAACTGTGTATGTTTGACATGGATTTTTAAAAATTAATTTAAATTAATTTATTTTTGGGATTGAAATCAAGCGTGCTGTATCAATGAGCTACATCCCCAGACTTTTTAAAAATTTTAATTTTAAGGCAGGGTCTCACTAAATTTCCCACATTAACCTTGAATTTGTGATCCTCCTGTCTCAGCCTCCTGAGCAGCTGGGATTACAGACGCGCCATCACGTCCAGTTTAGGAGCAGTATCCTTACTTCTTAGAGGACAACAGACTGATTTTGGTGAGGGAAGGAACACTTTGAATGAATTTCTGTAGTGGACACAAATTCTCCCGCAGGAAGCAATGAAGCTTGCACTTTAACAACCCCTCTTTCTCTTCCAAGGCCCTGGGAGTTGTTATATATTTTTATAAAATTTATATAAAGTTAAGAAATTTTAGCAGGTGTGGTGGTGCGTGCCTGTAATTTCAGCAGCTCCAGAGCCAAGGCGGGAGGATCGCAAGTTTAAAGCAGCTTCAGCAACTTAACAAGGCCTCAGCAATTTAACAAGTGCTGGGGATGTAGCTTTAGTGGTTAAGCATCCCTGTGTTTAAAATAAAATAAAAATTTAATAACAATCAGTTAAGACCACTGTTTTATTCTACTATTTCTCCTCCTCACTGTTCCCTTCTGTCAGGTGACCTTGTATTGGCCCTGAACATTTTTGTGCATCTGGAAAGGCTGAGTTATGAATATATTTGATTTAGGTTTCTTTACGTAGTTAGTACTCACTTCCATGGACAGTTCATATATGGCTAAGTGTCCTGGCATTTGAAAGGCTGTCATGCCTCAAAAGTTTCAGGAACAGAGTTCCAGTGCAAAGGCATCTTGTGAGTGTATAATGGAGGCGCGTAAGTGAAGGAAGATAAACAGTTTGAAAGGACTAGAGTTAGAAGATAGTCTCCAGAAGAGTCTTCAAACCACGACAGCTATACAAATGGAAATGGAGGACTCAGTTCTTACCTATGCTCACTAAGAAGGGGAGTTTTCTGCTCCCCGGAATGTATTTGATAACACAGTGAATACTAGTATACTTGGACATGTTAGAAGACTGAATTATTGTTATTTTCTCAACATAAAATGATATTACAAAACCATTGTATTATGAAGGACAATGAAAGAGTATACCCAGCTGGGCACAGTGGCCTGCACCTGTAGTCGCAGCTTCTCAGGAACGTGAGGCCAGACTGGGCAAAATAACAAGACTCCATCTCAAAAAAAGAAGACAAGAAGAGCAGGCCCCCCAAAAGTAGAAAAGATAATACTATGTTGTTTTTCTTGAGTTTGTGATATGGCATTTGTCAGCTTTTAAAAATGTATGATTTCATCGGGCCAGTGGCACGTGCCCATAATCTCAGTGGCTTAGGAGGCTGAGGCAGGAGGATTGAGAATTCAAAGCCAGCCTCAGCAACTTATTGAGGCCCTAAGCAACTCAGTGAGACCTTGTCTCTAAATAAAATACAAAATAGGGCTGGGGATGTGGCTCAGTGGTCCAGTGTCCCTGAGTTTAATCCCTGGTACCAAAAAAAAAAAAAAGTATGATTTCTGCTGGGCACTGTGGTGCACACCCCTAATTCTAGCAATTTGGGAGCTGAGTCAACAGGATTGCAAGGTTGAGGCCAGTGTTAGCAATTTAGCAAGGCTCTAAGCAACTTAACAAGACTGTCTCAAAATAAAAATAAATACAAAGGGCAGGGGTTGTCACTTACTGGTAAAGTCCCTCTGGGTTCAATTCCCATTACCAGGAAAAAAAAAAAAAAAAGGGAAAAAAGTTTAGTGATACGCTAAACAGCTAGTGAGACCCTGTCCCAAAATAAAAAATAAAACGTGCTGGGAATGTAGCTCGTAGTAAAGTGCCTCTGGGGTCAATTCCCAGTAACTTCCACCCCAAAATTATGATTTCTTATTTTGAATAAATAGTCTATTTGTGCCAGATTATGTGTATTTTTTTTTCTTAATGAGAGTTCCAAAAATTACATAAGGGCTGGGGCTGGGTCTCAGTGGTAGAGCACTTGCCTAGCATGCATGAGGCCCTGGGTTCCATCCTCAGCACTGCAAAAAACAAAATGTACCTTTCAGGTCCCACAGAACCTCTATCTGCCTTCAGCCCTCAGGGTGACTATCTTGGCAAAGATTAAGCTTCTCTGTTTTGGAAGACCTGGTTACAACTTGTCTCCTCTAGCCCTTTGGAAAATGAAAATGTCTTGGCCTTTAACTTGATTTTGATTAAAATAAGACTTTATAAGGCCAGAACTTTTGCAGATTGAGGTGTGACTATAGTACTAGATTTCATTTCCCTCCTCCACATACTGTGAATCTTAGCAACCCCAGCATAGGAATTTTTCCTCTTGTTAAAGTACTTCACAGCTTCTGTTTAGCATATCTGAATTGCCAGCATCACTCCTCTTGTGTTTGGGGGCCATTAGTAAGTAAAGTAAGAGTTACTTGAACACAAGCACTGTGTCACTGTCAGGGCCAATGTAATAACCAGGCTGGCTGCAGATGGGCAGGTGGTTTACACAGGGTGGTTACCTTGGAAGGGGAACCTTTTTTGTGTGGCCTGGCCATAGCCCTCGGGGTAGGCAAGTGCTCCTACCAGCCATTTTTTTTCTTTTTTTCTTTTCTTTTTTTTTCATTTTGAGACATATCTCATTAAATTGCCCAGGCTGGCCTCAAATTTGGGATCTTCTTGTCTCAGATTTACAAATAGCTAGGATTATGGGATTACAAGCAAGGGACACCACACCCAGCTAAAATCTTTCTCCTTTTGTTTTGTAAAAACAGGCCTTTTTCTAGAGAGGCATGCTTGTGCTCACCTATAATTCCTGCAGCTCAGGAGACTGAGGCAGATTGCAAGTTTGAGGCCAGCCTGAACAATTTAATTTAGCAAGACCTTATTGCAAAATTTAGAAAATTTTTTTCCACATTTTTTATTAGTGCATTGTAGTTGTAGATATGAGACAACCCCTACACACATACACTTTCTTTTCCAATTTTCGCTCTAACTAGAGAGAAAACATACAGCTCTTGACCTTGAGTTTGGCTTATTTTGCTTAACCTAATGGTCTCTAGTTCTATCCATTTTCCTGCAAATGACATAGTTTCATTTTTATTTGTAACAGAATAAATCTCCATTGTATATGTATGTATGTATGTGTGTGTGTGTGTGTGTATATATATATATGTATATATATATATATATATATATATATATACCACATTTTCTTTATCCATTCATCCATTGATGGCCAGACACCTGGCTGGGCTGGTTCTATAGTTTGGCTATTATGACTTGTGCTGCTATAAACATGGGTGTGTGTTTATTGCTACAGCATGATGCCTTTAATTAATTAATTTATTTATTTTGGTGGGGGATACCGGGTATTGAACTCAGGGGCACTCGACCACTGAGCCACATCCCAGCCTATTTTGTATTTTATTTAGAGACAGGGTCTCACTGAGTTGCTTAGCACCTCTCTTTTGCCGAGGCTGGCTTGGAACTCTCAATACTCCTGCCTCAGCCTCCTGAGCTGCTGGGATTACAGGCCTGCACCACCACACCCAGCTAATCTATCTTTCTATCTGTCTGTCTGTCTGTCTATCTATCTATCTATTTATTGGTACTACAGATTTAACCCAGGGCACTGTACCACTGAGCTACATTCCAAGCCCTTTTTATTTTTTATTTTGAGACAAGTGCTCAAAAAATTGCTTAGGGTCTCACAAAATTGCTGAGACTGACCTCAAACTTGCAATTCTGCCTCAGCCCCCAAGTCAGGCATGTGTTGCCACCTTGCCCAACTGGGACCAAATCTTTGAAGAGATTAGTGATGCCATCTTCACAGATGTCAAAGGAGGGGCTCAGTCAGTTCATGGTGGAGCAGGTTTCTCAAGCCCCTGTCCTGAGGTGCATCTGGACTCCAGTGAGCCCAAGGTGGGCGCACCTTGGGTTCCCTTCCTTCCCTGAGCCCAGCTTCCCATCTGGGAAATGGGAATAACAACATTCTCCTGAGAGAGAAGTGACAGAATGGGGCTGGGGCTCAGCTCAGTGGGAGAGCCCTTGCCTAGCATGCGGGAGGCCTTGGGTTCAGTCTCCAGCACCACCAAAAATAAAAAAGAGAGAGAGAGAGAAAATGTTTGGTCCATCCTTTGCTGAGTGCTTGGCAACTAGTAAGAGAAAATTATAGAAAATATCTTGCTAGTCACATTTTATGACTTCCTGCAATTATTTCATTAGTGTTTCATAAATCTTTTGAGAGTTTCATATGGGAAAGTCTGGCTCTGTACTTAGTCACCTCAACAGCAATAGAATGCTCATTTTTTTGCCTGAAATAGCAGGAAGCACCACAGAGAAATCTGTCATTTTTGGTAGCAAATAAAGCATGTGCCACACACTTGTAAATGTACATTTTGTTTTTGTTTTTTTGAGTTGGTGTCTCATCATGTTGTCTAGGCTGGCCTTGACATCTTGGCTGAAGTAATCCTCCTGCCTCAGCCACCCAAGTAGCTGGGACTATAGGCATGTGCCACCTGGCTTGGTTAAACACTTGTGCATAAGTATTCGGAGTAGCTGGATTCATGATTGCCTCAATCTATAAGCAACCCAAGTGTTTATCAACTGGCAAAGGAAGCCTGCCCCCCCATGGTGCACACCTGCAATTTGGGGGCTGAGACAGGAGGGGGTCTTAAGTTTGAGACCAGCCTCAACAACTTAGCAAGACCCTGTCTCAAAAAATAAAAAAGGATGGGGCTGGGGTGGTGGCTCAGTGGCAGAGCACCACATAAAAACAAATAAACAAAATAAAGGTATTGTGTCCATGTATAGCTAAAAAAAATATTTTAAAAAAATTTAAAAGGCTAGGGATGTGGCTCAGTGGTAAAGTGTCCCTGGGTTCAGTCCTCAGTGAAAGTGGGAGGGGGGCTGGGGAGAAGGTTATAAAAGAACATTGGCCAGAACTAATTTCATTATGCACTTGAAAGTGGGAAAAAGATGTTGTTTTAAAAAATACCTACACCACTCTGGGACATGGATAAAGCAATAATAAAGATAAGCAAATTCAGTAACCACAAGTGGTCAGACTTAATCACACATCAAATTTAAGTCAACCAACAGCTCATTATTATTATCAGTTAATTATACTCTCCATTCTCTGGGTTAAGTTTGCCTTCTCATCATTAGAGATGGACACATTTTACACTGAATAAACAAAATCCTTTCAGGTCAGGTACCTTGAACCTAAGAGTGTCCCTTTAACTTAAGTGGATACCTTCCTTACAGGCAGATTTGGATCTGACTTTTTGCTTTTCTTGCTCAGAGGCGGAGTACTTATATTCTGTTTCTTAGGTCTTTGTTCTAAGAGCAGGGGAGCTCCGAGGGTTTTGGCCAGGGCAGCATCCTGGTTGGATAGGCCTTCAGGTCCCAGAAACTGCCTTGTGGAGGGTGGATGGGGACACTGTGGAAGCAGCAGCAAGGCCCTGCAGAGGCCTGGCAGTTCCTGGAGCTGTGTGCCTCAAAGGGATCCAGTTTCCTCTATGTAAATATTTCAGCTTTAAAGAAAGACCATCATGGCCAGGTGCAGTGGTGCACACCTGTAATCCCAGAAGCTTGGGAGGCTGAGGTGGGAGGATCGTGAGTTCAAAACCAGCCTCAGCAATTTACTGAGGCACTAAGCAACTCAGCAAGACCCTGTATCTAAATAAAGTGAAAAAAAGAAAAAAGGGCTGAGGATATGGCTCAGTGGTTAAAGCGCCCCTGGGTTCAATGCCCAATAGGGGCGGGGCGCCACATAAAGTCCAAAATGAAATTATGGACTTCTTGGCCAGAGCGGGAACCACGGTCGAGTCTGGGGGCTCGGGTGGTATTCTGCTCTTAGAACCCACAGTGTTTGAAGAGAGACTGGGAAAGGCACTGGGGAGGAGAGAGGATGCTGGACCAATCCAGGTGGGTGTGAGAACTGAGACTGAGAATTTCTGATTGGCCGCAGGTGCTCTTGCCCAAGTAAACTCCAGGGGTTCTTGCGAGGGAGGGCGCCAAAGGGAAGCCTCAGACCTGTCCTGAGTGTCCTGGGGAAGCTGGGCAGGAAGGAGAGCCTGGGAGGAAGCAGCTCTTCCTTCCTCGCCCTCGACCTCGCCCTCACCCTCTGCAGATGCCCTCCTCTCCCAGACCTCCCTGCAGCTGCGCATAGTGAGCAAAGGACGAGGCTGGTACAGGGTCTCCCTCACCTGGGCTTGAATCTGGGTCTGCTGTTTTCTAACAGCATGATCCTGGACAGGTTGATTTACCGTGTGTGTGTGTGTGTGTGTGTGTGTGTGTGTGTGTGTGTGTGTTTTACTGGGGATTGAACTCAGGGGCGCTCAACCACTGAGCCACATCCGCAGCCCTATTTTGTATTTTATTTAGAGACGGGCTCACTCAGTTGCTTAGTGCCTTGCTTTTGCTGAGGCTGGCTCTGAACTGCCTCAGCCTCCTGAGCTGCTGGGATTACAGGCATGCAATACCACACCTGGCCTTTCTTTAGGCTCTCTCTTTTTTTTTTAAGAATTTTTTAATATTTATTTTTTAATTTTGCGGTGGACACAACATCTTTATTTTATTTTTATGTGGTGCTGAGGATCGAACCCTGCGCCCCGCGCATGCCAGGCGAGCGCGTTACCGCTTGAGCCACATCCCCAGCCCTCTTTAGGCTCTTGAGGGCTCCTGGACCTGGGGCTGCTGGTCCCAGGGGATGACATCTTGGCATCTTAGACCTGGAAGGACCCGGGGCTGGCCCTGGGTTTGACCCACAGCACCAAGAGAAACAAGGAAAGAAAGGAACTGGAGGACTCTTACAAGCCCTGAAGGGCACCTGGCATCTGTGGACAGCAGACTGGGCTAGGAATTCTGAGTACTCTGTTCCAAATTTACTCAGTGACCTTGGGTGACCTCTAGTGGCAAAGTATGACAACACGGTGTCCCAGCAAGGATGTGTTTGTAGGTTTGTACAACATTTAGTTGGTATGTTTGCCTTTGTAGCAGTACTGGGTAGAAATGCTGTGTGTGTATGTGTGTGTGTGTGTGTGTACCAGGGATTGAGCCCAGGGGTGCTTTTACCACTGAGCCACATCCCCAGCTCTTTTTGTTCTAAAATTTGAGACAGGGTTTCACTAAGTTGCTTAGGGCCTGCAATCCTCTTGACTCAGTTCCCGAGTCACTGGGATTACAGGCATGTGCCACCACACCCAGGCTCCCGGCCCTTTTTGAGACTGGATCTTCCTAAATTGCCCAGGCTGGCCTTGAACTTGTGATCCTCCTGCCTCGGCCTCCTGAGTAGCTGGGCATACAGATGTGCACCACTGTGCCTCACTCTTCCCCACTTTAAGCATGCCTGTGTGGCTTGCCCAGCCCGTCTCTTCCTCTGGTGCCTCCTCCTCCCTCCTCCTGGGCTTTCTCCTAGCTGCTGGTCCTGCCTGTTCTCTACAGAACACTTTCTCTGGGTCCTGCCAGCCCCAGGCCGGCTCTGAGACCCGTGAGGCTGGGCTGAGCCCCTGTGCGCGTTTCTGGGGTAGTGAGTGGGGGCTAGTTGCAGGTCCTCAACTGAGGCTTAGGATCCCAGGGACATTCCTGATGAGTCCCCACCTTCCTCCAGGAAGGCTTTTGGTCTGCAGTGGTCCTGCCCAGATGTCCTGTGACCCTTTCATGGGGGTCACAGTGCACACCCTTGCCTGAAAGACCCACCAGGACCTGGGTGGGCACAGAGTGGGGTGTGGCTGGGACTGAGCCTGGGACTGTATTTGGCCTTGGTTTGGGGGTGAGGCTCTTTCGGGCTTGTTTTGGAACTGGGAGAGGAGGCTCCCCTGGGATTTGAGTGGGTCGAGCCTAGGCTTAGTTAGGGCCTCTGGGTGCTGCTCACACCCGCTTGCCCTGATCTCATACTGCCCTGCACTGTCGTCTGCCTGTCAGTGACCTCTACAGCAGGTCACAGGGCCATGGTGGGTGCAGCCTCTGTCCCCAGACCCTCCTGGGGCGGCTGGAACACACACAGACCCTCTGGGGAGCTCAGGCAGGGTCTGCTGCTCCCCATTTCCACCCAGCGTCCCCAGTGTTCCAAGGCAGCAGCTGGTGAGGAGGCTTTGGCTGGCTGGCTGGTGTCCTGGGGTGGCATCTCCTTTCCACTAATGAGGGTGCAGCCCAGAGCTCACCCTGTGGCTGCTTGGGGTGACAGGGTGAGGTCACCCAGGGCAGGTGATCCGGTCCCCACCTCCTCCCTGAGCTTCTGGGACACTGGCCTTATTCCCGCTCCGAGGCTGCTCCCTCTGCTGGTCTGCCTCAGCCGCCCTACTTAGGGGTCCTGGCCCTGAGGTGTCAGGGACACAGGGTTGGGGATTTCTGGTCAGAGGGGGAGCAGGGCAGCCGGGGAGTGGGGGTGGGGTGGGGGAGGCGAGGAGAAGGAGGGTTTGGGGCCCCAGGGCCCCGATTTTACCAAAAGCACAGTCACAGACCCTGAGTAGTGCTCAGCCTTCTATTGGAGACTCTGCCTCCCTGGGACAGGGGTGTCCAGGTGACCTGAGCATTCCCAGAAGAGTGGACGGGCAGGGGCGGGGGTCTGGTGCTGTCCACTTGGGGACGTGGCGAGCTCGCGCGTGTGTGGGTGCTCATGAAGTGCTGTTGACACCAGGACCCAGGGCCGCATCCCCCGGGCAGCCTAGGGACAGGCAGCCCTCACTCCCGAGGCCTTCCGTCTCCCTGGACGACGGTCCTTCAGGGGTCCTCGGCCCGTGTCTCTCGGGGCTGGACCCACCCCTGGGCGGCCCGGTGGTGCGTGTGCGTGGGGCGGAGGAAGGGCCGGCCGAGGGCCCCCGGGGCCTAGTCGTCCTTGTCCTTGGCCCCATGCTTGAGGATGCGGGTGAACTCCACGTAGTTGAAGTTGCCCTTCTTGTCGATGGGCGCCTCGCGGTACATCTCGTCCACTTCCTCGTCCGTGAAGCGGTCTCCCATGGTGGTGAGCAGCTCCCGGAGGTGGTCCTCATGGATGGAGCCTGGGGGCCGGGCCAGGGTCTGTGAGGGCAGGGACCTGGGCTGGACGCACCAGACCCCGACCCGCCAGCCCACCGTCCTTGCAGACCTCATGGCCAGAGAGAGGCCAGGAAGGTGCCACCCTAGTGTGCTCAGCTCAGGGAACAGGGGACTTGGGCCGGAGGGCCCAGGAGCGCTGCCGGGTCTACCAGAAAGAGCTCTGCCCTAGTCCTGTCTGCAGGGCGCGGGGCTGTGGGTGCAGGGAGTGTTGGGCACACCGTTTTACAAGTGAGCTCTGCAGTTCCACAGCCTGAGTTGGAATGGTAATCTCCAATCTTTGCTGTGTGACCTTGGGCAAGGTACCTAAGCTCTCTGTGCCTACTTGATCTGGAAAACAGGGCTGAAAAATCCCAACCTGGCAAGAGAACTATAAAGATGGGAAAATGTTCTGAACATGCTGGGGCCAAGGCAGACCTGGGGCCACTGAGAGTCCACTGTTGCCACCTTCACTCAGCATGTTCCTGGGGACAGCTATCTGCGGGACAGAGGATCTGGCTGGCTGGGACTGGCTTCTGTTCCTTGTTGGCAAGAAGGGCGCCTGACTTGATTTCTGGAAAGCTCTACAGCAGAGGGACAGTAGGGGTGGGGGTGGGGGTGAGACGAGGAAGTGGGGCGTCTTGGTGGGCCTGGGCTGTCCTGTTAGTGGCCCAGGAGAGAGCAGGAGGGGCCTGGCTTTGGCTGCTCTGGCAGCGGCACGGGAGGTGCCTGGTGGCCGCGGGCTAACCTGAGGCCTCCTCGTCGAAGCAGGCAAAGGCGTTGCGGATCACGTCCTCTGGGTCGGTGCCGTTCAGCTTCTCCCCGAACATGGTGAGGAACATGGTGAAGTTGATGGGCCCCGGGGCCTCGCTCATCATGCCCTCCAGGTACTCGTCTGTGGGGTTCTTCCCTGCACGGGCGGGTGGGCCGTCGGTGCTGCGTCCAGGCCCGCCTGGCACTGCCCTCCCGGCCCGGCCCAGTGGCCAGCTTGGGCAATGGACAGCACGGTGCTGTGGCAGGCGGCCTTCTGATTTGAGGCCTGGCCCGGCTGCCACGGTCCCCGGCTGCCACCACCAGTCACCCTGCCCGTCTGGTAGGAGCATCCCTCCCCTGTGTCTGCGCACCAGTGACCCCGTGAAGACAGCGTTGCCATTCCCACTCCATAGACAGGCAAGGAGGCTGGTCCAGGGCCACCCAGCCAGTAAACAGGGAGCATGACACCAAACCATTCGAACCCAGGTAGCCTGACCTTGAGCTCCAGACAGAATTTCAAAAGTGGTCAGAGTAGCAAGTTTTGGTGTCACGCAGGCCTGGATTTGCACCCCAGCTCTGTGCCTTAGTTTCCCATGTCTCTTAGGAGCACTGTGAAGATGAATAAGGTAACGGCTGCAAAACACCTGTAAGGATGAACTTATGGGCTCATCCAGCTCTACCACTTAGATGTGTGACACTGGACAAATTACTTAACCTCTCTGAGCCTCAGTTTCCTCCTTTAGGAATGATAATCATGTCTACCAGATAGGGAGGAGCCTTCGACGTCCCTATGGTTGCTGAGTCCCTATGGGATGGTTTGTGAAGCTGAGGCTTGGGAGAGCTAGGACCTGCAGGACTCGAGTAGAGCACCTAGGGCCACCCCACTCCCCTGGCTTCTGTCCCCCCCTTGGATGAAACTGGAGGGCCCCAGGTGAGAGCCCTGCTGGGCGACCTCCTGGGAGAGGGAGGCTCCAAGTGAGCCTGGCCTGACTCTAGAGAACCTGTCACTCCTACTCGGCAGGCAGGAGCCAGGGCACAGACGGGCAAGGAGCCGGTCCAGGGCCACACTGCCAGGGGAGGCAGCGTCCAGGTGAGCCCCCCTCAGGTGGCCTGTTCTCACCAGCTGCCTCAGGAGGGTGTGGGAGGCCAGGTGCCCGTTACAGGGGCAGGGAATGGGCAGCGCTAGGGCCTTTCCGGGTGCTGTTGGCTTGACGCTCTTGGCTTGACCACACGCTGCCCAGTGATGCCGGACTTCCTGCCTGGCTCTGGCCCAGGTGCCTTCACCAGGACGACAGCGCTCCAAGAGCAGCTGCCCACGGCCAGCACATGCGGAGCAGTGGCCTGGCCTCTGGAGCGCGGTTTCCTCACTGAGCAGAGTGAGTTGGAAGTGAGCCTTGGGCCCTCAGGTGCCAAGATGCTGACTGGAGAGGTCACTGAGGTGAGGGAGGGGCTCCTGTCCCCCGCCGGCTCAGCCTCCCCCTACAATGGAGCCTGCAGTTCAAACTCCTCTTCCTTCTTCTTTAATTCAGAGACCCAGTCTCACCAAGTTGCACAGGAGGACCTTGAACTTGCCCCCTGCCTCAACCTCCCAAGTCACTGGGGTCGCAGGCTTGTGCCCCCACACTGGCCCACAGCTCACTCTTTCATTCAGCTGCCAGTCCTCTATTTTTATTTACTTTTGTGTTTTTAAAATGATTTGTTTGTTTCTTATTACTGTTATCTGGTACTGGGATGGAACCCAGGGGTAGGTTTACCACTGAGCCACATCCCAGCTCTTTTTATTTTTTGAGACAGGGTCTCTAAGTTGCTGAGGTTGGCCTCAAACTTGCAATCCTCCTGCCTTAGCCTCCTGAGTCATTGGGATTACAGGCATGTGCCACCATGCCTGACCCAACCCCCTTCTTTAAATCAAATGTCACTGGGCGTCCGATTAATGCATCTGCCCAAGACGGCCCCACTCTGCCGTCAGCCTGAAAATCCTGTGCTGGACCCCAGACACATTCCGGAACTGCTCTTTGCCTCAGTTTCCCTGTCCATGGAGTGTGTGAAGCACAAGCAGCTGCCCCCAGGGCGGCTACCACAGGACTTGTGACAAAGGAAGTGCTCAGGAAGTGCGGAGCAGCCCTGCAGCCCCTGGGAGCCCGCACCACCCGCTGGCCTGGTCCCTGCTCACCTAGGGAGGCCAGCATGTCATGCAGGTCCTCCTTGTCGATGAAGCCGTCCCGGTTCTGGTCGATCATGTTGAAGGCCTCCTTAAACTCTTGGATCTGGGACTGGTCAAACATTGCGAAAACATTGGATGTGGCCCGCTGTGGCCTCTTCTTGGTGGTCTTGGCCTTGGCCCGCTTGCTGGACATCTTGGCTTGAGGTGGGTGGAGCTTCCCTGCAGGGAGGGGGTGCAGGGCATACCTGGGTCAGGGGTTCTCCCTGTCTCCCCCAGATGGCTCTCGGCTGCAGGCCTGGCCTTCACAGCCTCCCACAGGCTCAGGCCTCCCAACACCCAGTTCTTCACAAAGGCAGACACTAGGGATTGAACCCAGGGGTGGGGACACTTAATCACTGAGTCACACCCCCAGCCATATTTCTTTCTTTATTGGAACTGGGGATTGAACCCAAGGGTGCTTAACCATTCAGTCACATCCCCATCCTGCCCTTTTTAAAATCCCCATCCCTATTTATTTCATATTTTGAGATAGGGTCTCACTAAATACTGAGGCTGGCCTTGAACTTTCGATCCTCCTGCCTTAGCCTCCCAAACTGCTGGGATTACTGGGGTGCACCACTGCACCCAACTGGGCTCTGTGATCTTGAACAACTTCCTCTCCAAGCCCGAGCGTTCTCCTCTGGGAATGGGGATAAACTAACCAAGTGCTTGAAAAGCACCTGAAATGGTCCTGGCATAGAGTCAGGTATTTTTGCTCTGAGCGGGTAGAACATTTAGGACTAGACGTGTATGTCCTTTAATCCTGACAGCACTCACTGCCCGCTCTCTCTCTCTCCAAGTGGAAAGATGGGGCTCCATGGGGGACGCAGAGGGGGGTTCTGCTGGGCCTCCTTCTAGGAACCCTGGGACCCACAGGAGGGGCCTGACCAGCAGGCTGCATGCCTGACATTCCTCCTCCCCCTCAGCCCTCCCCATCCCGCGTGCTGCTTGTGGGAGGCTCTGGGAACTCTGAAGTCCACCCCCCACACTGCATGTCCTCCCAAGGCAGTCTGCCAGCCCCTGGGCGAGTGACAGGCCAGTTCTGGGCCCTGTCCTGTGCTTTCAGGGGACTGAGGTCCCCAGGCTGAGGGGCCAGTTTCTATTCTCATTGTGCAGATCCAGCCTAGCATCTTTGTCCCATTCACTGGCCTCTTGGAAGCGCTGGGAGGTTCCTGCTGCCCCCAGCTCCTAAGTAAGCCTGTGTCCTTCAGCCTGGCATTCAAGGCTGTGAGAGCCCTCCTGCCTCTCCCAGCCCGCACCCCTCCCTTCTCCATCTTGTGCCCAGGCCCCAGGCTTCCTCCCAGGCCCACCTGCAGGGCCCCTTCTTCTGGGCCAGGGCCGGGCCGGGAGCTGCTCTCCCCACCCTTGTTTGACATCCACACTTGAAGCCCTCTCTCCCTCATCCTGGGGCCAGCCGACTGGCACAGCCACGGCCACCATGGGCTGGGGATGCTTGGTGAGTGAATGGCTGTCTGAGGGCGGTCTGCTGCACAGATGGGAAACTAAGGTCCTCCCTGAGTCTTTGTCACAGCTGTGGGGACTATGTGCCAGAAGGCCTAGTCCTGCTCCCCTCAGCAGGCAGAGGCCCAGGAGGGGGGTTGTTCCTCTCTCCTTGGTTCCGGTTCCGAGCCCTGGTCCAGGGTCTCCTCTGCCTGTGCTACTGCTCTTCATCCAAGATCCCACGAGGACACCTTTCAAATCATTCCCAGACCTTGACCTTTTGCTTGCTTCCTTCCTTGTACTGGACTGAACCCAGGAGGGCTTTACCACTGAGCCCCATCCCCAGTTCTTATTTTTTTTTTTTAATTTTAAATGGGGGTCTCGCTAAGTTGCTGAGGCTGGCCTTAAACTTGTGATCCTCCTGCCTCAGCCTCCTGAGTAGCTGGAACTACAGATGCACACCACCATGTCCAGCTGGCCCTGGGCCTATGGAAGCTTATGCCCGAGCTGGGGTTTGGCCAGTCCAGTATGTCCTTGGGGCCATAGTTGCCTGAAGTCTTGAGACTGGCTGTCTGTAGCCCACCTGAGTGGGAGTGGGAAAAGTGCTGAGGGTAGGGAGTGCCATTGTCCCCAGAAACCCACCCCCTCCTCTCTGTGGCTTAGAGGGCCCAATTCTTCCCAAGCCCATTGTTCTCTGGGAACCTGGACTCATGGTGAGCAACAAAGGCTGCCACAGAAGTCCACTCTGCCCTCCAAGGCTGAGGTGGTCATCACTGTCACCATCTGCCTGCAGAGCTCTAGGGCAGGTGTGCCCAGGCTCACCCGTGCTCTCTCTGAGCCCACCGGGGCACTGTGCCTTTGAGGCCACCGGTCCCCAGCATGTGAAGGCCAAATAAGGTGTGCAGCCAGGATGTGGTGAGGGCACCAGGCCCCTCTGTCCACTGGCGTGACCTTGGGAGGAAGGGGTAGCGGCTCCAGGTGTGCGGTTCAGGCAACAGGCAGGAGAAGGCGAATGTGTGCCCCTAAGGGGTGAGGGCCAGTGGAGACCAAGACCCTGGCAGGCTTGGGTTGGGGGGCAGCAAACTGTGCCCCTAGGTCCTTGAGGCCTTGACAAGGAGGCTGACCATGCAGCTCCCCCCAAGGGGCCAAGGCCTGTCGCCACAAGCAGGTTGAGAGACCAGGGTCAGACACAAGCCAGGGGCCTTGGGCCCTGGAGCCAACCCTTCCTCCTCCCCAAGGTCCCAGACACCAAAGACCAGACAGTGGGTACTTGGCCTGGCTGTGACCAGATGTCACCTTTCTCCTATAGTGTCTGAAATTCTACCATAACAGCAAAGACCTGGGTAGAAGCCAGATCAGGCCTGTGTCCCCTTGCTGTGACTGGGCGATGCCAGGGGCCCTGCTAAGGGCTCCCCTCATCTGAGGATGAATTACTTGACTTCCCTCAGAGCTGCCAGAGCTGGAGGCTGAGAAGATGGCCCAGAGGGGGGAAGCTCCAGGGTCAAAACACACAGCACTTGGTGTGAGTGTGTGTGTGTGTGAGAAAGACAGACAGACACACGCTCCTGGTCACCATCCCTCTCTCCTGCCCCAGGGTGTGGAAATGGGATAGGAGAGGGGACATGGATGCTCTGGAAGGGCATGGAGGCTGGCAGGGCTCAGTATCCCAGAGGCACATGGCTTCTTGAGTCAGGGAGTGCCGGCCACCTCAACACCCCTCTGGGACCCCCGAGTTCTGGGCGTGGAGAGGCAGAGCGGGACAACTTGTTCCCTCGCCAAAGGACCACTGTTTCCCAGATCCGGGGACAGTCCCGCTGCCGCCCAGCCCCAGGCTCGGACCCCCGTGGGAGCGAGTGAAGTCGCAGCCCAGCCCGCACCACTGTCCACGCCCAGCAGACCCTTGCCTTCCCTGTCCCTGGGTCCTGCGCAGAGCCGGTGACGGCCGCGTCGCCTGCCAGTCCGACCACCTACTGTAGACACCCTGCGCTGGCCAGGGCGGGCTCCCACCTGGTGCCGAGAGGCGCTGGGGCGCGGAGAGGCGCGGCTGGCGATGCGCTCTGCCGGGGGCTCTGGCTCTGGCCAGGGTTGGGGCTCCCGCTCCGGCCGGGGCGGGGGCGGGGCCTGCGCCCAGGGGCGGGGCCGGGGCCGGGGCGGGGCCAGGCGGCGAGGCGGCCGCGCCTTACAAGGCAGAAGAATGTGCGTGCTGGGCCGGGCGGGGCCCGTGCGGAGGGGCCGCGCAGCCCCCCGGCCTTATTTGGCCTTCACGTGCAGGCGGGGAAGGGGGGCAGTCGGTTGACCACCCCCTTCGTTGCCGCTCCTGTCTCCAAAGGCGACAAGGCCCTTCTTGGGTACAGGGAGGGCAGGTGATGGGGGCGAGGAGGCAGAGCCTCCGGGGGTCCCCGCGCTCAGACTCCTCCCCGCATTTTTTCCCGAAGGCCCTGCTGTCCAGCGCGAGCCCCGTGGGAGGACTGGCTCCCAGCAGGCCAAGTATGGCCTTTTCCAGTCGGAGGCTGAGCTGGACAACTTGCATGTCGCAAAGGACCAATCATCCTCAGGCCAGGGGCCAACACAGCCTCCTGGGGAACTTTCCAGCACCCAGTTACTTACTCTGTAAGCCGTAAGGGGCACCTGCTATCCGCCTGGCAAGGTGCTGGGGACGCAGCGGTGCGCCACGGCCGCCCCCCAGGACGCGCTGTGTTTGTGGAGGGCGATGCCACGAGCGCTTAACTCCGAGCGTCTAGGACTGAGGACGAGGAGCCTGGACGGAGAAAAAAGCAGACGAGGGCAGAGTGACTGGGGTGTGTGGTCCGGGAAGTGACTTCTGAGCAGGCTGCAGTGGTGGAGTGAGCCCCGAGTGGAGCTCCCTGGGCTCCGGGCCAGGGAGCGGCAGGATGGGGTCTGAGAAGCAGGAGGAACTGTTCAGCGGATCTGAGCAGAAGGGAGGGCGACCTGCTTGTGTCTGCACCCGGTCCCCCTGCAGCCTGCCTTGGATAGACGAGGGGGTCCTGGACGAAGCAGGGAGAGTAGGGAGGCCGCCCAGCCCCGACGGTTCGGTTCCGACGGGAGGCGAGCAGTGCGGGTGGAGAAGGGTGGGCTCCCGGGCGTGTTTCTGTTGGTGCAGCCAATAGGGCTGCGGTGCACGGGGGTGGGGTGAAGGGGAAAATCAAGGTTGACTCCAAGGTTTTGGGTCTGAGCAACCGGAAAGATAGAGCTGTTATTTCCTGAGATGCGGGTGGGACACTTGTGGGTGGAGCAGGTTTTGGGAGTGATTTTCATTTAGACATATTAAATTAAAAAAAAAAAAAACTTTATTTTTTTTTTTAAGTAAGTTCAGGCTTACAATAAAGTTACAAGAATTGTACAAAGTACTCCTGTATACCTTCATCTAGGTTCTCCTTTGGCTTTTCTTTTCTCTCTCTCCATATATATATTAAACATATATTTATCTCCATCTCAACCATTTGAAAATAAACAGTATACATCATGCCCTTTTACCCCTAAATTTTCAGTATCATCCAAAAAAGAGTATTGTCTTACATGTCCTAGTACAATTGCAAAAATTAAAAAAAAAATCATTGATTCAATTACCGAATTTACAATCCATATTCCAGTTGTGCTAATTATCTCCATTTGTCATTTATAGAAATTTGTTCCAACCAAGGATCCGTCAAGATCTTGTGTTGCTTATTCCTCTCCCTGGTTGTTTTGTTTGCATGTTTGTGGTAAAATAACATAAAACTTGCCATTGGCCCTTTTCAAGTGTGGAGTTTTGTGCTGTTAAGTAGGTTTCTTTGTAGTGCAGCCACCAGCTGGGACTCTGTGCCCATTAGACACTAACTGCAGGTCCCCTCTTCTCCCAGCTTTGGTAACGCCATTCAGCTTTGCTTCTATGAATCTGATGACTCTCAAAACCTCATATGAGTGGAATCAGATAGTATTTGTCCCTTTTTGACTGGCTTATTTGTTTATTTATTTTGGCTTATTTTTCTTAGCATAATGTCCTCAAGATTCATCCAAGTTCAATATATGTCAGAATTTCCTTCCTTTTTAAGGTCGAGTTGTATGAAATTCTATCATGTTTTATGCCATATTTTGCTTTTGTATTCATTCTGCTGATGGATATTTACCTTGTGGCTATACTAAATTATGCTGTTACAATTGGGGGGAGTGTAGCTCAGTGGTAGGGCACCTGCTTAGCATGTGGGAGGCTCTGGGTTGGATTCCAAATAACCAACAAGACACCACACATTCACACACACACACACACACACAGAGTAAATGGATGAATAATGCTGCTATGAACATGGGTGTACAAATACCTGCCCAGTCTGGCTTTGAACTCCTGAGTTCAAGTGTTCCATGCCCCAGCCTACAGGTGTGTACCACTGGACGGAGCTAGAAATCCATCTTTTAATGCATTCATCAGTTAATGGACACTTGGTTGGTTTCCTCTTCTTACCTGTCATGAGAAATGCTGTTACAGACATTTGCATATGAGTTTATGTGTTGATATATGTTTTCACATTTTTAGGAATGTAGGATTTTCAGAGTAAGATCATTAAGTGTGTTAGTCCGCCTTCTGTAACTATAACAATTACCTGAGACAATTAGTTTATAAAGAGAAAAGGTTTATTTTGGCTCATAATTTTGGAAGTTGCAGTTCAGGATCAGTTGGCAGCACATCATTCTGAGAGCGTGTGCTGGAGTAGACTTACCTACATTGTGAGGCAGGGACAAACGAGAACAAAGAGAGGCCCAGGTCCCATAAGTCCCTTCAAGGGTATGCTGTCAGTAACCTAGAGGCCTCCCCTAGACCCTACTTCTTGTACTCTTTTTTTTTTTTAATATTTATTCTTAAGCATTAGGTGGACACAATATGTTTATTTTACATTTATGTGGTGCTGAGGATTGAACCCAGTGCCTTGTGCACGCTAGGCGAGCACTCTACCACTGAGCCACAACCCTAACCCCATCTTGTACTCTTTTCTGAGACAGGGTCTTACTAAGTGGCCCAGGCTGGCCTCAACTTGTGAGCCTCTTGCGTCAGCCTCCCAAGTATCTGGGATTTGTTTTTGTTTTAATATATTTTAGTTTTCAATGGATCTTTTACTTTATTTATTTATATGTGATGCTGAAGATCCAACCCAGGGCCTCACACATGCCAGGCGAGCACTCTACCACTGAGTCCCAACCCCAGCCCCACCATTTGTTTTTGTTTGTTTGTTTTTGGTCTTGGGGAGTGAACCCAGGGGCACTTTACCACTGAGCTACAGCCCAAACTTTTTTGTTTTTTATTTGAGGCAAGGTCCTGCTGAATCTTGCTAAGGCTGGCTTTGAACTTGTGACCCTCCTGCCTCAGCCTCCAGAGCAGCTGGATCACAGGCGTGCACCACGGTGGTGGCTGGTTTCAGACCATTTGCTGAGATTTCTTTTTCCACTGAATTGTTTGGCACTGTCACTTGTCAGTGAATGTATGGGTTTATTTTTGGACTCTGAGTTCTAATTCATTGACATGTATATCTACATCTACTCTTTGGCCCTAGGGCATAATCTTGTTTAGTTTTATAGTGGGTTTTGAAATTGTGAAGCATGTCAACTAACTTTATTCTTCTCTTTCAAGATTGTTTTGGCTTTTCAGGGTACCTTGCAGTCCCATGTGAATTTGGGATCAGGTCATCAATTACTGCAGAAAAGGGTGCTGGGATTGCATAAGGATTGCTTTGCATCTGCAGGTAGATCATTTGGTGTGGAGTGGGGCATGGGATGCTGCTGGGTTTCTGTTCTCGCGACTAAAAGGCTCAGGGGTTACTCCAGTTAAACTGACTGGGCTGCACGAAATAACCACACAAGAGACACAAATACTTTTTTCTTTGGGGTCACTGTGACGGCTCCTCTGGCCTTAAGGGTCCAGAGAGAGAGAGAGAGAGAGAGAGAGAGAGAGAGAGAGAGATAGAGCGCACACAGGTGCTGACCCCTTTTATTGAGGAGAAGCTATTCAAATGAGGCAAGGGGTCAGGTTTCAGGGGGCTGAGTCTAGCTTCATGATGTCCACTGTCAGCAGGTTGACTGACACCTGGGCAGGCCACACCCAAGGGCACAGTAAGAGAAGGGGACACACACAAGGCACTTCCATGGAAGATTCTATCCTAGACAGGGCAAGGGGTTATATTACAAAGGAACAGGTGAGCATAGCTTCACCCATGGGGCTATAGCAAGACACACCCATGCATGAGACACCGACCACATTTCTGTGACTGAGCGCCTCAGCACCCAGCCAGGGAATGTGACCCAGTCATGTGTAAGGTTGGTCTCCATTTAATTATATCTTTCAAGGGGCTGGGGATGTGGCTCAAGTGGTAGCGCGCGCTCGCCTGGCATGTGCGGGGCACTGGGTTCGATCCTCAGCACCACATACACATAAAATAAAGATGTTGTGTCCACCGAAAACTAAAAAAAAATCACATCTTTTAAAATGTGTAGTTTCTTGTTAAATTTTTCCAAAGTATTTTGTTCTTTTTGATGCTATTATACCTGGAATTGTTTTCTTAATTTCCTTTTCAGAGTATTCATTGGTAGTTGATCTGTGTTTATTCATGATACTTCTTCCACCAAGTATAAGGGTTCTCCCCGCACACCAACCAACTCTTCAATGCTCGGGACACCTATTGGGAGTTCTACAATTCAATTCAATACTGACAGAAACTGGAGTTAGCCGGCCGGCTGGGGCTGTAGCTCAGTGGTAGAGCGCTTGCCTAGCATGTGTGAGGCCCTGGGTTCGATCCTCAGCACCACATATCAATAAACAAATAAAATAAAGGCATGCTGTCCATCTACAACTACAAAAAATTAAGAAAGTAAAAGGAAAAACTCCCATAGGTTTAGTGCCTTTGTCCTGAAACACACGTATCAGGATCCCAGGTTACCCACACTTCTGTCCAACCTGGCTTTCATCAGGGGTTCCCACAGCTGTTCCCCAGATTTAAAAAAAAATATATTTTTGTAGTTGTAGATGGACACAATACCTTTATTTTATTTGGTTATCGTATATAGTGCCAGGAATCAAACCCAGTGCCTCAGGCACGCTAGGCACGTGCTCTACCACTCAGCCCCAGCCCCAGCCCCAGCCCCAGCCCAGGCCCAGCCCCGGCCCAGGCCCAGCCCCAGCCCCAGCCCCAACCCCAGCCCCAGCCCCAGCCCCAGCCCCAGCCCCAGCCCCAGCCCCAGCCCTGTTCCCCAGATTTAATAATTTGCTACAGCAGCTCACAAGCTCTTGGAACTCAGGAACACAGATTGCTTACTGTTGTAGGGTCATTTTAAAGACTAGACTCAGGACAGCCAAGAGGAGACAGACGCACGGAGCAGGGTGTTGGGGGATAGGGCACCCCTCTCCAGCTGGCCACGTCCAGAACCATGTCCTCACCAGCCCAGGAGCACTCCAGATTCTGCCATGTCTTGTGGAGGCTTCCGTGCAGAGGGCTGGATGATTAAGTGGAGCTGAGGGCCCACCCTGTGATCATGTCTTGGTGGTTTGGTGACCAGTTTCTGCCCTGGAAATGTCCATCACCCCCATCTCACTAGTATACATACAAATAATGACTCTGGAGATTCTGTGGAGCTCGGAGCTGTGTGCAAGGAACATTTCTTTTTTTTGTATCACGATAATGCACGGGGATATAGTTGGGTTTTGCGTACTGGTGCCTTCCGAAGTCATTTATCATCTTAATAGTTCTTCTCTAGATACCTAAGGACTTTCTATATGGAAAATTGTGTTTATCTACTACTATAGTTTTATTTCTTAATTTCTGATCTGGATGCCATTTATTTGTCTATGCTTATTAATTTTTTATTTTAATTTTTTTTAAAAAATTGTAATATTGGGGCTGGGGTTGTGGCTCAGCGGTAGAGCGCAGGCCCAGCATAAGCGAGGCCCTGGGTTCGATCCTCAGCACCACATCAAAATAAATAAATAAAACAAAGGTCTTGTGTTCAACTACAACTAAAAAAATAAATATTTTTTAAAAAATTGTAGTACCAATTATTTCCTTGCCTGATT